TCCAAAAAGGTAGATACAATAAAGAGAGAACTTTGACAAGCTCTTACCACGCACTCATGTACCCATATCAGCGCCCATACATTTTCCTTCTGCCCTCTGAATGCAGGGGTTCCTGGTAACGTCTCTACGCTAGACCCCTTCCTTCCCATCAGACACATGGCTCCAGTTCTGTCTCTCTATTTCATTAATTTTCTCATCTGTTTCTTCCTTTCTTATTGATCATTTTTATCTGCCTGCAAATAGACTTCTTTTTGGTCCTACAAAAAAAGTCCTTTTACTGACCCCATATTTTTGTCCCGCTAGTTTTGTGTCCTTTTTTCCTTTACAGCAAAATTTCTCCAAATAATTATCATTGCTCATTGTCTCCAATCTCTCTTCTCCTGTTCCCTCTAAAGGTAGGCTTTTATTTTCTCCCTCCCTCGCACTTTGCAGATACTGCTAATGTCAATATCATACAATTCTCAGCCCTCATCTCACATTGAATTGGCAACAAACAGCACAAGTTGATTACTCTCACTTCTTAGAAGAGGCTTCGAGGCCAGCACATTCTCCTAGTTTTCCTCTAAACTATGGCTTTTGTTTTTCTTTTCAACTTTGATTATATTAGTTCTCACCTCTTGTCTTTTTAACCTTGGATCTTTCCGCTATGTTTGCACTTAAATTTGCTTGGCAGTCTCATCCAGTGCCGTGTTTTGTTTGTTTGTTTTTTAATGTTTTATTTATTTCTAGGAGAGAGAGAGAGAGAGACAGCGTGAGCAGGGGAGGGTCAGAGAGACAGGGAGTCACAGACTCCGAAACAGGCTCCAGGCTCTGAGCTGGTAGTCAGCACAGAGCCCGACGCAGGACTCGAACCCACGAACCGCGAGATCATGACCTAAGCAAGGTCGGACACTTAACCGAATAAGCCACCCAGGCACCCCCAGTGCCGTGTTTTTAAGTGCTACCTTTATGCTGAAGACTTTCAACTTCTATATCCAACAATCTATTTGATAGCTTTGCCTTAACATCTGAGGGCATCTTAAATTTAACATCTCCAAAACTGAACTCCTAATATCTCATCCCAACATGCTTCATAGTTTGTCCTTAGTTAAGGGCAACTCTCTCCTTCAGTTTGCTTGACCTGGGCCCAAAGCCTTTGAATCATCCTTGGCATTTTTCACTGACTCATACTCCACATCCGTTTCATCAGCAAATCCTTTTGACTCTATCTTTAGACTGTATACAGTCTCATACCTTTTCTGCAATTATGTGTCATCATCTCCCAAACTGGTATTATTGTAGTATCGTGTAATCAGTCTTGCTATGTCCCCCTTGCCTGGTTAGAGGCTGTTTACCAAATACCAGCTAAAGAGATGGAATGCAGTTGAGAGAATGGCTTGATTTTGCTCAATGGCTTCCTGTCTCCCTCACCTACTTGTTGACTCACTCACTGTCCTCATAGAAAAGGGCTTACAGCGACCTACAGGGCCCTGTCTGCTCTGTGCCATGTCCCATCCTACCCTCTCTACTCTTCAGCTCCATCTCCTACCGGTATTTCTCTTACTCCAGACCATACACTCTGGAGTTCTTACCTTTCCACTGATGTAATAAAAATGCTCATACCCCAGGACCTTTGCACTTGCTTATCTCCCAGAACATTTTATTCCCTCAGGTGTGTGCACAGTGCACTTTCTCACTTCTTCAGCACTTCCTGTATAGGTCACCTCTCAGTGGGGCCTCCCTGATTCTCCTCTTTAAAATACCCCTACCTTCTACTTCTGATTACCTGTTCCCTGCTTTACTGTTCTCTACAGAACTTGTCATCATTTAATACACTATATATTGTACTGATTTGTTTTGTTTTTGTATGTTTCCTCTGACCAGAATGTAAGTTACACAGATAGAATTGTTCTATTTTGTTTGCTTATCCCCTGCATCTAGAATAGGATCCCTACAATATTAAGTACTTTATAAATGTTTGAATAAGTATATGAATTATTTTAGTCTTTTTAACATCATGATTCTTCTGTTACAGATAAGAAATTGAACCGTAGGGAGTGTAGTAATTTGTGGAGATAGAACTGAAAACTGGATCTATCTTGGCTACTGGTATAATCCCTGTGTGTATTAATATATCCTTTGGGATACTCTGTGTATGAACTTTATGTCAGGTTAATTGCATTATCCCATAGAGGAAGTTGTCATTATTGTGCATTTTACATGTGCTCTTACCCTCAATCAGTACCTTTCTGGGAGAAAATAGAAAGAGATTTTTAGTTCATGTAATTGTAGCTGCTGTTAAATTAAGCCATTTCCTCAAACCAAGCGTGTGTTTGACTAATGGTTCTGAGAAACTCAACTTTGCCACCTTTTAGCAGAAAAAAAAAAAGGCTACATTTACGGAGATGAAAAATACCTGAATGCAGGAGAGCGGAAGCAGCAGGGAATAAATAACGCTGCTCATCTGGTTACGGTGCTTCAAGTACTTCAGGGTGTGGATTCCACCGGACGCACCTGGAATCTTTGTTCATTTTCTGCTAATGCATTGTTCAATGGGATTATAGATTTTCAGAAATGATCAAGCTATTCTCAAATAGGGAGCTGATGAGTGATAGAGGTCACCATTTCAGAAGATAGTTACAGATTGTGATGAGTATGAATCATGCTTTGAAGTCTCCGCAGCTGCTTTTAGAGTGCAGGCTACAGGATGTGTCTGTCTGGCATTTCCCAGCACCTGCCCTATTCGTAGTTCCTATTCAGAAGACATGATTGAGCTGAGAGTGAGGTCTGTGCACCACAAAGAACTGGTATCCCTCGATTATGGAACTGAAATATGAATCCCTGATCTGTCCACACACTTTGTGTCACCTGGCCAGACTGTGGTCCTTACTTGTGTCCCTCCAGCTCCCTGAAGTTAAGATTTTTCACGAAATGCTGATATTCGCCAAGAAGTGGTGAAATTTCAAAGGAGAATTGAACACTAGCAACATGTACCTTGTGGATTCAGTGGAAAACCTAAGGTGTTTATCAAGCTCTTTGAATTTGAAGAGTCTCAAACTCCAAACTCTGTGTTCTCCTCAGTGGGTAGAGCAAGTCTCTGCTTACCTCTTTGCACCTCTGGCTGTTATCTGCTGGACTCATGGAGTCTCCTGCAGCCATAGAGGTCAGCCAAAGGTCTGAGCGGAGTTTATGCAAAGACTTTGGAGTGCCCCTATGTGGTTTTCTTCTTATAGGGGCTTACTCCTTCGATGTCCAGCCACTGGAAGCCCTGGACCCCATTCTCTGATATCACGAGATAATAAAGACTGAATCTGTCTTGTGTGAATCCTAGCAGTCCCCTGTCGCAGAGAATGGGGAATCTCCTCAGGGGACAGGCCTTGTAAGTGTTATGCTTGTCCACTGCTCTTCCTTTCTTTCAAAGGTTAAGCCCTCTTTGGTGTAGGTCTACTTTTTGGATCTCCAATGCCTTTAAGAAGTTATTTTTTATATTTTGTCCAGAGTTTATAATATATGTGGGAAGATTAGTCTGAAAAATCTACTCTAGTGTGCCTGGGTGACTCAGTTGGTTCAGTGTCTGACTCTTGGTTTCAGCTCAGGTCATGATCTCACGGTTCATGGGTTCAAGTCCTGCACTGGGCTTTGCAGTGTGGAGCCTGCTCGAGATTCTCCCTCTCCCTGGCTCTCTGTCCCTTCCATACTTGAGCACATTCACTCTCTCTCTTTCTCAAAATAAATAAACTTTAAAAAAAAGCTACTCTATCATTATTGAATTCAGAACCTCAATAAGTTGATACATGGTTTTTATCATTCAGTCCAAAATACCTCATAATTTCCTTATTATTTCTTCTTTGAGACATGGATACTTACACATATTTAAACTTTCTTTCTAACATAGGATTTTCTATTTCTTTCTGTTATTGACTTCCATCTTAATCTCATCGTGGGAAGGGAACCCACCCTGTATGATTTTAATCCTTCAAACTTTGTTGAGGTTGGATTTATAGCCCAGTCAATGGTCAACACATGTCATTGTTCTGCTTACTCAGAAAGGGTTTATATTCTTGGCTGTTAGGTGCAATGTCCTGTTCATGTCAGGTCGTATTTGCCAATTGTATTTAAATCTTACCTCGTTCTGCCTTTTTGTCCATTACCAAGATGGGTACATTACTATCTCCTGCCATATTGGGAATTTATCTATTTTTCCTTTTCATTCTGTTAATTTTTCCTATTTATTTGGAGCCCATGTTGTTTCATGAGTATAACTTTAGAATTGTGTCCTCCTGTGATTTGACCCCTTTAATAGTATGAATTTTCCGGCTTTATCTCTGGCAACGCCTTTTCCGTTAAAGACTACTTTGCTTGAGATTCCTGTGGTGACAACAACCTGTTTTGGTTAGGATTTTCATTGTTCGTTTTCTTTCTTCCTTTTTACTTAGTACTTTTCTGTTACCTTTATTGTTTCAGTGTTTTCTTTTAAGTAGTCGGGTGACAACCTTTCTTTCAATTGAAACAGTAAGATTACTTACAGTTAATATAATTATGTTTTCATTTAAACTAACTTCCTTCCTTCCTTCCTTCCTTCCTTCCTTCCTTCCTTCCTTCCTTCCTTCCTTCCTTCCTTCCTTCCAGAGGGTACAAGTGAGCAAGCGGCAGACAGAGAGAGAGAGAGAGAGAGAGACAGGGACAGAGAGAGAGAGAGAGAGAGACAGGGACAGAGAGAGAGAGAGAGAGAGAGAGAGAGAGAGAAGCGGGGCTCACCTGAAGTGGGGCTTGTCGTTTTACCCTAGGTGGGGCTTGGGCTCACCCGATGGGAGGCTCTGTCTCACAAAGTGTGAGATCATGACCTGAGCCAAAGTCAGAAAGTCAGAGGCTTCACGACAGAGCCACCCAGGCACCTGGTAGTTATTTTCTACTTCCTTCACCTATTCTATGCTTTTTTTTTCTCCATCACCATTTACTCCCTGAATTTTCAGTTGTATTGTATACTACATTACTCTCATTTGTCATATTCTTTGTATTAGGAAAAGATAGAGTTTTCAACACCCCATTGTGTGAACAAGGAATCGTTGGATTTGGAATTGGGATTGCAGTCACTGGGGCTACTGCCATTGCAGAAATTCAGTTTGCAGATTACATTTTCCCTGCTTTTGATCAGGTGAGAGGATTTCATTTTATTATAGTTGAACATTTCTTAGACGGAGTTCAGGAAGTATTGAAGTTTTGCCTCCACTTTCCCACATCTTATCTTGGGAATTTCTTTTGTTGTCTTTGAGCTAATGTGTTACAAGTTATTTTGTTACGGGCATATATTTAAAGATCTGATAAAATGGTAAGGAAATGGATGGGAATGAAGGACTCCTCATGACCTGTCCCTTCTCTCTTCCCCCCCTCAGATTGTTAATGAAGCTGCCAAGTATCGCTATCGCTCCGGAGATCTTTTTAATTGTGGAAGCCTCACCATCCGGGCCCCTTGGGGCTGTGTTGGCCATGGGGCTCTTTATCATTCTCAGAGTCCTGAAGCTTTTTTTGCTCACTGCCCAGGAATCAAGGTATCCTCATTTGTGTGCTTCATTTGATCTCTGTTGGATAATTCCATTTCAGTTCATTCTGTTAACTAATGTGCTTATCTAGAGGAAAGGAAACAGAATTTATGGAATTTATATGAATTTAATTGTTTTTTTTTTTTTTAAAGAAAGAGAGTATTTTAGATCAGCTATCCAATTCCCAGGTTTATAGAATATTCTTGTTGAAGTAGCACTGGCTTAACCCTGACATTAATTTCACAGACTTCAGAGAATAAGACCACGAACGTAGTCGGTTTATCTTCCCTCTCTTTCAAAGCTCTGTTTCTTTCTAATGGGGCTTTCTCACTTAACTGATTCTGGGTTAATTTTAATAAATCTGTTTAGTACATATTTACCTGAAAGTCAGAGAAATAGGACTTTTGCTTTACTCTAAGGGAAACCTTTGTTATCCAGATGTGATTTCCAGTCCAGGTAAGGTAATACTTGATCAGATAAGTTTGAGGCATCTCTCTCTCTCTTTTTTTTTGAGTTTAATTTTATTTATTTTGAGAGAGATAGAAATAGCAAGTGGGAGAGGGGCACAGAGAGAGGGAGACAGAATACCAAGCAGGCTCCATGCTCTGACAGCACAGAGCTGGATGTGGGGGTCGAGCTCACAAACTGAAATTCATGACCTGAGCTAAAATCAAGAGTCAGACGCTTAACCAAGTGGACCATCCAGGTTTCCCAGTATGTCTTAATTTTTCACATGATCTTTTCTATTTCTCTTTGCTAAAGAGATTTCCCGGGAATCATGATAGAAACTCCTATGTCTGCCCAGGACTGTGTGTTTGAAAACAAGGATTGGTTGTAAACATGTGTCTGTTTTATTTTTATTTTTTTCCATCAGAGAAAAGTCATAAAGTTTTTGTTTTGTTTTGTTTTGTTTTATTAGTTGAGTAGAGATTGTGTAATTTTTCAATGTAAGCTAGAAGTGGTAGGTTGGAATAGAAGCCACATTTGAAGTAATGGTTATTTTTGTGCTTGAGCTGAACATTGATTCACATTTAAAGTTTATGAGCTTACCCAGCATTTTTTAGAAAAGATTTTTGTCTCTCAATCCCTACTTTCTTTGCTTCCCTCTTTTTTCTTTTTAATACCAAATGAAAATAGTACAAAATGCTAAAAATATATGAAGAAAGCAAAGGAAGAGAAACTAAAGTAGGAACATAAATACATTGTGTATTATGGTAAACAATGTGCTCAGTCCATTTTATGGAAAATAGTGAGATTTTGCTATTTTTAAAAATGTTTATCAGAGAGAGAGAGAGAGAGAGAGAGAGAATCCCAAGCAGGCTCCACACCATCAGTGCAGCGCCTGACACTGAGCTCGATCTAACAAACTGTAAGATCATGACCTGAGCCAAAATCAAGAGTTGGATGCTTAACTGACTGAGCCACCAGGTGCCCCTGTGTTAGTTTTTCAAATAAGAATCCTTCTATTTAAAATAGTATAAAAAATTGATTTTGAAACCCAAGTGTAGTTTGTTTCAAGGAACCTTATTAGAGTCTTTAAGATAAATTCAGATTTCTTTTAATAACTCTCCTTCTGTAACACTGGTATTTATGCAACTATTTAACAGTCATTAAAAACTAGACATAGTTTGTGATTGTAGACAAAATGGTGTAGTAAGACCTTAGGCTCTGGTGTCAAAACTGTGAGAGAATCCCTGGGGTAGCAAAGAGTGTAACTTTGCGTAAAGTATTTGATCTTTCTTTTAATCCTTTGTCTCTCATTCTAAATTGAAGAAAATAATAACAGCAGCCTCACGGGTTGCTATGAAGAGTAGTGTCCACATAGAGTAGTTGGCCCAGTTACCACATGTGCCACCTGCTGATATCATCTTCTTCATTGTCAAAGTCCTTAAGAAGATCCTGGAACCCTTTCTTCTCAACTGGAAGTGGGCAGTATCCAAACTTTTCTTTCAGCTTCGCAATAACTGGACATTATATTGCCCAGATCATAAAGTTCCAAGTTCAATGGATTATTTTTCACTTAGGAAATGAAGACCCTGTTATTCATGGGAAAGGAGGAGATTTTTGTATATTAAAATTAGGGAAGAGTTACATGTTCTTTGAAAGTTTCAGTAGAGTATTAGAAGATATTGACTACTTTGCTTTTTGCAGATTCCTTTTATTATGTGTATGCAAGCTTAGCTTTTTTTAAGAAAAAAATTTTTAATGTTTATTTTTGGGAGAGAGAGACAGAGCATGAGCATGAGTGAGAGGGAGAGACAGAATCCAAACAGTCTCTAGGCTCTGAGTTGTTAGCACAGAGCATTAATGCAGGGCTTGAACTCATGAACCGGGAGATCATGGCCTGAGCTGAAGTTGGATGCTTAACCAACTGAGCCATCCAGGCGCCCTGCAAGTTTAGATTTTTAAGAGAAAAACAATATCTTAGTTTCCAGAATATGGTGGACATCTGATAAATACTTGTTTAATAGGTGGAATTTTTTAGGGGTGGGACAATAGGTAAAATTTATAATAAATGGGAATTAGGCTAGAAATACAGGATTTCTATAATTAGTAACAATTAGTTACCAAGATATCAACCCTTTTGTAAGTGAATTTACTGGGCTACATTTTGTACTGAAATTGTCTTTAAAAAAATCTGTTTTTGCAGGTGGTCGTACCCAGAAGCCCTTTCCAGGCCAAGGGACTTCTTTTGTCATGCATAGAGGATAAAAATCCTTGTATATTTTTTGAACCTAAAATACTTTACAGGGCAGCAGGTAAAGGTTTCCTTTATTTATATTTGTGAGTATCCTTGTGCATTTTGTTTCATACAGCTCAAAACAATTATAACCTTTTTTTTTATAAGCTTGACTTATATTTTCCTTATTTGTAGAAGGTTCTGATTGCGCTCTTCTATACTTAGTCTTTAGCTCTATATTTTAGTTTAGCTTTAGGGAAAATCCATGTAGCTGTTTTTTGTTTTGATTGTGGAAACAAAGAAGCAATGTGAAATGGTAGTAAGAATATAAGGACTACTTTTAGCTACATAGTAGATGCTTCGTAAATGTAGGTTGAATGGAGAATGAATGAGCGCATTGTGCCAAAGAATATCAAATGTCCTTCTAGCTCAAGTGTCCTATAAGTCTTTATCTAAATCAGAATACATTTGATAGTGAAAGGGGAACTGTTAATGCTATGACATCAAGTCAGCACTGGAATGACTGTCTAAGGCAAACTGAGATATTCAGTTACCCTTCCTTAAGCTCAAAATCATAATCCGGTAACCAGTCATCTGTCAGCTATAATGGAAATTATTTATCAGCTATAATGGAAATTTTAAATATCAAACTCTTCTGTCTAAAGTGTGTTTTACTTTGAATTCAAAGAACATTGCTTTGGCAATCCTTCTTGAACAGTTAAGCCTAACATTTTTTATTGTGGTATGATTTACACACACAGATATTAAATGTTCGGTTTGGTAGAGTTTTGAGTCTTAGAAATCCAGGTAAAGACTGTGAAAAAAAGATCTAGAACAGTTTCATTACTCTAGGAAGCTCCTTCTGCCTCTCCCTTGCCAATCTATTCTCTCTGCCCCAAACTTAGCCAGTTGCTGATTCTGTCCCCATAGATAAGCTACACATGTTTTGAGGCTTCATATAAATGAATCACACCATATATTATTATTTTGCCTTCGCCTTCTTTGCTCAACCTAATGTTTTGAGGTTCATTCATGTTGCTTGTATCAGCAGTTTATGTCTTTTTCCTTGCTGAGTAGCATTTCTGTTGTACAAATATCATCACGATTTATCTCTTCTGTTGAACAAATGTCCATCAGTGTTTTCAGTTTTTGCCTATTTTGTACAAGGCTGCTAGGGACATTCTTACACAGGTGCTTTATGAACATATTGTTTCCTTTCTTTTGAGTGAACATCTCTAGGAATGAAGTTGGTGTGTCACAGGATAGATGTAGATTTAACTTTGTAAGAATCTACTGAACACTTTTTCAAAGCGGTGATGTCATTTTCTACTGCCACTGGAAGTGTTTCAGAGTTGCAGTGCTCTTAGATTAAACATATTTTAATGGAATCTTTTCATTTTTTAGGAATTCTATTCTCATCTATATCTCATTATGGAATTAAAAATAACAAGAATTTAAAGTCTTGAGGTGAATAGGAAAACAATGATGGCATACACTGAATGACTCTTTGATTCCTAATTCCTTTAGACGCCTATGGGTATTATACTTGTAAGGCCAATCAACTGTTCAAGCTAATCAACTAATGCAGATTTTTTTCCAGTACATATCTAATGAATGGAGAGTGAATAAGAAACTTGGAAAAAGTAATTTTCATTTTGCTGCAAATTTTGAAATCAAGATCAGTAAGGGAAATGTTTAACATGACAGGATTCCAGCTAAGAGAACGAGCTTGAGAAATGTGGTATAGCCTTGGTCCTGGGAGAGATTATGAAAGACCCTGATGAGGAACGAGGCTCAAAAATTTTTCAGAAGTTTCCCAGTGTTTGATTATGTGCCATCTCAAAGACTTGAACTCTGAATCTTTTCTTGACCTCTAGGGGCTCAGTAAAGAGCAAAACACAAGTTCTTTCACAGCTACAGAGCTTCTTTATAGAAGGAAGCAGGCTAGGAAAAAAGAGCTAGCCATCAAAATCTTCATATGAATGTTCTCTATAGAGTGGATCCTTGAGTCAGTTGCATAAGCATCCCAGGAGCTTATTAGAAATGCAAATTGGCAGGGTGCCTGGGTGGCTCAGTCTGCTAAGCTTCTGACTTGACTTTGGCTCAGGTCACGATCTCATGGTTCGTGAGTTCAAGCCCTGTGTTGGGCTCTGAACTAATGACTCAAGGCTGGTTAGGATTTTCTCTCTCTCTTTCTCTGCCCCTCCCCTGCTCGCACATACGTGTATGCTTGCTCTCAAATAAATAAATTTAAAAAAAAGAGTGCAAATTGTCAGGCCTTACTTCATGACCTGCTGAATTAGAATGTCTGGGAGCGAGGCTCTGCTACCTCTTAGCAGCCATCCAGGTGTCTCTGACTCCAACTAAATTTTGAGACCAGTGCTTAATATTGATTCTGAAGCAGTAACTGATGCTGCCATCTCCACTTATTTTATTCCTCGTTCTCATATAGACTTCAGAATGCTTTTAACCTATAGTTTTCTTAGACTTGGCTTCTGGTTCAAATCAGTATCTTACAGCTGACCACATTTTGGTGTCTGCTTTTTTTGGACAGGTAGGGGAAGGGAAAAGAGCTCTACATGTTCTGACAGTGATTCTTCAGTGGCGGCCTACATCCAGCCACTCTTTCTAGCTCTGTTCACCTCTCAGGTCTCCCTTCACACTGGCAGAGGGAACATAAAACTTCCAGTTGTTTGGAATCACATAAAAAGGAATGGAGTGTTTTTGATTCAGTAATTTGACATGCTTTGTAGAAGACATTTCTGTTTTAATAGAATCAAATAGAGCAATGAAAGAAGATCATGTAGGTTTATGCTAAGGACCAGAATAATCTGATAATTTCTAAGTGGTAGCAATGGGAAGACTTCTAGTATTTCCTGCAATGAGGAATGTAATCTCCTGTAATTTGAGGACAGGGGATAAAACCATTTGGTGAATGCAGAGCATTGTCCTTGTCCCAGCTCTTCTTGACCTCTCTGATTCCCTCCTTTTTGGACCTGGTCCCCATGCTGTTCTGTATGCTGAAACATCTGTGCTGTGGTGACTTTCCACATGTCTGGTCTGCAACATTTTATATATATATATACATATATATAAATATATATATATTTTATATATATATAAATATATATAAATTACATATATATATATTTTAGAGAGAGCGAACATGTGCGTGGGGGAGAGGCAGAGGGGAAGGGAGAGGGAGAACCTTAAGCAGGCTCCATTGCCAGCTAGCATGGAGCCTCAGCCCTACATGGACCTCCATTTCATGACTGTGAGACAGCAACCTGAGCTGAAATCAGGAGTCAGACACTTAACCGAATGAGCCACCCGGGCGCCCTTGGTCTATAACATATAGAAATAATTTCTTTTAATTCAGCCATTAACTTTATGAACTATAAAGATGAAAGCAAAAGTAGGTAATATGTTCTTTATGCAGCAATTTTCTTGAATTTTATTTCTACTTATTTTGAATATACAATAAATAAATACAAAGCTAATATCTTCTATATTTAGAAGGAAAATAAAGTTTGTATTCTAATTTTGATACTTAAATGCTATTAAACTTTTAAGAAGTGGCAGAGGTATATTTAGAAAAGGTAGCTCTAGAAGACCAATCTAGTCAGTGTCCAAAATGTACAAAGTAGTTACAATTCAAAAAGAGAATGAGTCAGTGTGACATTATTAGATACAGGCATCTTGTGGAGAAGCTTTTCTTGTATGCCTTTTGAGCTTTTTGGTTTTATTTAATTAAAATTCATTCTTGACATCAGTGATAATGAAGTAAACATGGCTTTCATCTATGCTTCTTCTAGTGGGAAAAAATATTAAAAGCCTTATGCTGCCTCATTTCCAGGATTCACATTACCCTTTCAGGCAAAACTTAGGTCATAATGATAATTGAGGGGTTCTTTCTTTTCATTTTTCTTTTTTTCTTTAGCAAATGTACTAATTACCTATAAATTCATACATTCTGAAGAGAAGAAGGTTTTTTTAGTTTATTTATTTTGAGAGAGAGAGAGAGAGAGAGAGAGAGAGAGAGCGAGCATGAGAGCACACATGCATGAGTGGGGGACGGGCAGAGAGACAGGGAGAGAGAGAATCCCAAGCAGGCTCCACACTGTCAGCACAGAGTCCGATGAGGGGCTCCATCTCACAAACTGTGAGATCATGACCTGAGCCAAAATCAAGAGTTGGATGCTTAGCCAACTGAGTCACATAGGTACCCCTAGAACAAAATTGTTTTCAGGAGCTTTTGAGTGGTAGAAACTTTGAAATGTTTTTGCCCAGTATCAGTGTACACAAGAGTATTTTGCATTTTTAATTTGTTTTGGTTGATGTCATTAAACAGATTATATTTATGCAGTTGAGTACCTTTAATACTAGTTACACTCACAAGAATTGTGTAATGTGAGAGAATTTAGGTTAAAAAAAGACAAATAATATATCTTATAAAATATATAAAAAAATGATAGTTTTTTACTTTTTCCTTTACCAAATCCATTATAAGACAAATAATATATCTTATAAAATATATAAAAAAATTATAGTTTTTTACCTTTTCCTTTACCAAATCCATCTCCCCTAAAGGCAGTGCTTTTCAACTCTTTCAGTAGTTTCTTTCTGATAACTTATATTTGTAAACAATATATGTTTATACTGCTTTTTAACATTTTAGGGATTATGATTTTAACTTCCTAGAGGAATTTAGCCCTTTTAGGTCACCTTCCTTATTCCTTTTCACCATGCTGTTCCTTGCTTTCAGCATATTCAGACTTCTCCCCAATATCTTCATGGACTTACAGTGTAGTTTTTGGTCAGACCATTAGTGTTCACATTGTTATAATAATCATATTGGTATGATTTACAACTGAGCAAAAAAAAAGGTGTTTTATTTCCTCTTTGATGTACAACTCTGTTTTTTCTGGACCAAATAATTTTTTTTCTCTTTTTTTCATTTGTTAAATTTCTCATGTTCCTATTATTAGGAATAAAGTCCCTAATTTCCTGAATATAACCTATTTGCATTATGGTTGGACACATTAGGTGGCCAATCAGGATTTTTTTCCCACTGTATGC